CTCTCGAAAGTTTTACTAATTGAGCTTGTGACCTTTGGCCTCAATTATATCCAACCTTAATTTTCCCCATAATGCACGTAAATAGTAAATACATAGCAAGGGGAGATAACACAGAGAATAGAGATGCCAACAAGGATCCCATATATAATTCAGTGAGAACTTTACGAAGTCTGTTTTGTACCCTATTTTGGCCTACTTTGGCTTTGGGTTTTGATTATTTGATCATCCCGATAGACTAGATGAAGTACAATTATATTGAGTCAAATGTAAACGTTCTAAACGACCTAACGTAGCAAAATATATAGCTAAAACACCTTTATAGTACTTTGATTTAGTAGCAATTAGGAGAAGAGTTCTATAAATAATCTCTTGAACATCCAAATTTACAATCATATCTAAGTCCATTCTTGAATCAGCTCCTAATTACTTCTGAAATTGGAATAATTATGTTCTCTCCTCCAATAGTATAACTTGTTATCCTCTGAAAATTTGAAAAACAAAGAGTAGAGAACAAGCACACAATGAGTTATGTGGTTTCCCAAAAAAACATAATGTTGTACTGGAGTGATTGCACTTTGTTGCAGTACCACCTCAGCTGGGACAAACTCAAACTACATGTGTCTTGCTGTTGAAAAAATAAAGCCTGGAAAATGCAAGGGAAGTGAAGTGCATGACAACTTGGAAGTGATGATCTGGGTTGTGTGAAGTAAAGAACAAGTGACCTAGAGCTAGATTGCGGCCAAGTCACTTCTGTTGGGACCACAACTGAGGGTATTAGTGCCAATGCCCCTGTTGGAATTGGTAGGAGACAAGGAAAGCGACTGTTGTACTTGCTCCAGCCTTTGTTTTGTTTGTTTATGCTTGTTGTTTCCTAGTAAAACATGTCTAGGGTTTGATGTCGCGCCTATAAAAGGCTTGTTATTTTTTCAGTTGATGTATTGTGAGTGAAATGGCATTGAAATGCAATGGAAATGAGATCTGAAGCATAAAAGTTCAGATATTGTCCAAGCAGCTATGTTTTTCTTGTTACTATTACATTGGTTTCTTAGTTCTGAAGTTAGTTTTATGTATGTTATTTTTCTACACTTGGTATCAAAGCTCGCAATGATCTTTGTTGAAGGCTTGTGAGTTTTTTTGGACTGAATCTGTGAGGTTTTAAGAGGGTTGTGTGTTCTCTTCTTCTTCTTGATCTCATCCAGTTTAGAAGCACATACAAAGATGGCTTCTTCTGGCCTTACTCTCACCACTCCCCCTGTCTTCAATGGGAGCAACAACCAGATGTGGGTTGTAAAGATGAATACTTTTGTGATGGGGTGTAATATTCGGGAGCCTGTAACAGAAAGAAAAGTAGATCCACTACCTTGAGATGCATCACCAATCAGTAAGCAAGGCATGTTGAAGAGGTTGCAGAGACTCATAGAGCACTTACTTGCATCTTTGCTGCTGTAACAGAAGAGGTCTTCTCAAGGATTATGACCTGCACCACTGCTAAGCTTGGGACAAATTTAAAGAGGAGTACCAAGGGTCTGGCAAAGGTAAGCATATGGTTGTTCTTAACTTGAGAAGATAGTTAGAAAGTTTCAAGATGAAAGAAACTGAGTATGTTAAGGAGTTGGTCTCAACTTTGGAAGAAACAACAGATCCTACCACTATCACCATCGCCCAAGTCATCAACTCACTACAAGCTACTAAGATGAGAAGCTCTATCAGAAATGAGGACCAATCGGAGGAAGCTCTAGTTGCTAAACAACAGAAGGTCATACCTAAGAAGAAAAAAGGAAAGGAGGAGCGGGTTGAGAAGCCTACTGAGAAGAAGGTCCTTTCTCCCCTCCCACACTGTAAGAAAACTACTCATTCTGAGAAGTTTTGTTGGTATAGACCTAATGTCCAATGCAAGGCTTGTATGAGAATGGGTCATGTTGAGAAGGTGTGTAAGAACAAGAGCATTAGAGAGAAAGTTGATATTATTGAGGCCAATGAGCAGAAGAAACTAAAGGAATGTTCATATGGTCACTTGCTACATGGAAAATAGCTGGCTTCTAGACACTGGATGTACAACCCATATGACTCATAATGAGGAGTATTTTCAGATTCTAGAAAAGTATTATAAGTCAAGAGTGAAGATTGGAAATGGAGACATGCTTTCTGTTGAATGAAAAGGCTCAGTATCTATGCAAACTGACTTTGGATAAAAGGTAATCTTTGAAGTTGTCTATGTTACTGCACTAGCTCATAATTTGCTTAGTGTAGGTCAAATGTTAGAGGAGGGATATTTTGTAGAGTTACAAAACAAGAAATGTATGGTGTTTGATCCCAATGGAGATAAGCTATTTGAGATTCTGATGGTTCAAAGAAGCTTTCCCTTGAAAATGAAGGCTGTTGAGACTGCTTTGGTGGTTAGAAATGATGAGTCTACATTATGTCATAGTAGATTAGGTAATTTCAGCCATAACACTCTGATCAAAATGGCTAACAAGAAAATGGTAAGTGATTTACCTAGTCTGGAACCAGGAGAAGGATTTTGTCCGGCTTGTTAATTACACAAACAACACAGACTGCCATTTCCTAAGAAACAAACTTGGAGAGCTTCTGCAAAACTTGGACTGATTCATACAGACATATGTGGACCCTTTAAAGTGGAATCATGGGGAGGAAGCAAATATTTTATACTTTTCATTGATGACTTAACCAGATTCTGCTGGGTTTACTTCTTGAAGAACAAGTCTGAAGCATTACCAGTATTTCAAAGGTTTTAAGGCTTTTGTTGAGAAGAAAAGTGTTTGTAAAATCAAGACTCTGAGATCTGATAATGCAAAGGAATACACCTCTCAAAGCTTTGCAAAGATTTTAGCTTCTGAAGGTGTACTCCATCAGCAACTGTGAGATATACTCCACAGTAAAATGGAGTAAGTGAAAGAAAGAATAGGCTTGTCATGGAAATGGCAAGATTTCTTGTTTTTTAGAAGAAGATGCCTAAGAAGTTCTGGGCTGAGGCTGTAAATACCTCAGTTTACCTGCTTAATTGACTGACTGTCAAGTCAGTGAAAGACAAAATACCATTTGAGGCCTACAAACCTAGTTTGCACCATCTCATGATCTTTGGCTCAGTGTGTTCTGCACATCATCCATCTTCAAAAAGGGACAAGCTGGATCATAGATCAGAACTGGAAATCCAGGTGGGCTATAGTAGTGAATCAAAAGCCTACAGGATCTTCAATCGAACTGCTGAGACGTTCCAGTTAAGCAGGGATATTATCTTTGATTAACATGAAAGTCATAATAACTGGTCCTTGAATGAAGGTGAAACTGAAGACAGTTATGATATGCTCACATTTCAATTTTAAGGTCAGGTTGACTTTGATGATGAATCAGAACCACAGGTTGATCAAGAACAAGAAATTCAAGAGCCTGGTGACCTGGAATCTAACAATGATGACCAAAGTGATGATGAAGACTATGAGTATGATGAAGAACCTCATGTGAGAGGGTTGAGGCCACTTACAGATATCTATGAAAGGTGTAATATGAGCATTGAAGAACCTAATACTGTGCAGAAAGCTCTAAAACAAAATGGATGGAATGCTGCAATGAAGAAGGAGTTCAGAATGATTGTGAAAAAATGAGATCTGGATCTTGGTTAAAAGACCAGTTGGAAAGAAAGCAATAGGAACCAAATGGGTTTTCAGCGTCAAGTTAAACCCAGATGGTTCTATCAACAAGCTGAAAGCTTGGTTAGTTGTGAAGGGCTATGCTCAATAATGGGGAACTAACTATGGAGAGAATTTTTCTCCAGTAGCAAGGTTAGATGCAATCAGACTGTTGTTGGCTATAGCTGCTAAAAAAAGGAAAGTGCATCAGCTAGATGTCAAGTCTGCCTTCCTGAATGGCTATCTTCAGAAGGAGATATATGTTGAACAACCTGAAGGTTTTGAAGTTCCTGACAAAGAGGACTCAGTTTTCCTATTAAAGAAGGCTCTTTATAACCTGAAGCAAGCTCCAAGAACTTGGTATTCTAGAATTTATGAGTATCTCTTGTAGCTTGGATTTGCCAAAAGTCCTAGTGAACCAACTTAGTATGCGAGGAACAACATTGAAAGAACTGTAATGGTTTCCTTATTATATCGATGATTAAATGGTTACAGGAAGTGATGAAAAGCATATAGAGAAGCTCATGATCAGCATGCTTAAGGAATTTGAAATGACAGATCTTGGACACATGTCTTACTTCCTTGGCATTCAGATTGCTTAGAATGAGGAGGGCATTTTCATAAATGAAAAGAAATATGCCAAAGAGATATTGAAGAAGTTTGAGATGGAGAATGGCAAACATGTTCCAACACCACTCCCTGTACGAATCCAACTCACAAAAGAAGATGGTTTGGGACTATTTGAAGCCAAGGTTTATAGAAGTTTAATTGGGTGCTTGCTGTATCTTTCTGCAACAGACCAGACTTTATGTTTGCCTCTAGTTTGTTAGCCAGATTCATGCAAGCCCCAACTCAAATTCACTACAAGACAGCCAAAAGACTACTGAGGTACATCAAGGGTACCATTGATCATGGATTGATGTTCAAAAGTGGAAAGGAAGTGTGTTGGAAGGTTACTGTGATTGGGCTGGATCTTTAGAGGACATGAAAAGCACCTCTGGATTACTTTCACATTGATCAAGTGTCTTTTGATGAAGCTCAAAGAAGCAAAGCATTGTAGCTCAGTCAAAAGCTGAGTACATTGTTGGTTCTGAAGAAGTGAATCATGCAGTTTGGTTAAGAAAACTTGGATTGAATTGGTTGAGATTAGCAATGGCAAATCAATAAGTACCAAAGACTACCAAGTTCACTCCATTCTAGTTCTAAGATAAATTAGGTGATGTTAGTTATTAAAAATCTATAAAATCATTGGCTACCAAATTTACCCATTTTTTTTAAGCCAGTTCAAGCTTGCGAAGGATTGATAATGGACCGAATTGAAAAAATACATATAGACTTGATTAAACATTCATATTATTATACATTCAATAGAAATTATATATCACCGAAAATCATTGTTGTAAATTGTAATTAATTGCACGGGCCATAGGCCATCACAAATTGTACACAATAAATGAACTAGTCCTGGACAACTAGTTGGAGCTGAGGTCAATCTCATTTCATACTTTTAGGTCTGTAACTCCAAGCCCATATCAGTAACCTGCAAAATAAAAAGAACGCAGTCAGCTAAAGCCCAAAAGTTGGGCTATTCAACCCAAGTTTTAGGCCGAGAAGCGAGGCCCGAAATCATGCCTATTCTTATCCATAACCAATGGGTCGGGTTGGGTCGGGTTTTGCCAAACCCAAACCCAAACCCATGGGTTTATCCATATATAAAACACCATTCTAGAAAATTCAAGCAAATCACAAATTAACTATACAAATTGTTCAACACCAATCTAGAAAACTCATGAAAATTGAAGCAAATCACAAATTATCCATAAATAACATGTTTAATTGAAATCTTCTTTCTTTCAATTAAGTTTCTTTAGTCTCCACTCCATAACATCAACTTCATTCTACACAATTAAAAAGAAAAATTAGACATGTCTCCACAAACATAAATAAGAATAGTTGTTTAGAATATTAAATATACCGAAAAAAATTAATTATATGAGTGGGCGGGTACCCACGGGCCGGGTTTACCTAAACCCAAACCCAACCCAACCCGGTGAATAGTGAACGGGTTTAAACCCAAACCCGGCCCAAAACCCGTCAACACGGATTTTACCCGCGTTGACCGGGTTGGGTCGGGTGGGTACCCGTGGGTTCGGGTTTTGTTGCCATCCCTAGGTGGCAGAGGCAACCTCTGAGTAAACCAATCAGAAGAAAAAGACTGCAGACCAGCCTCTGAATGGACCAATCGGAAGTTGACACGTGGTGTACGTTTTTGCTATAACTAAAGCTCTTCAGCTCTTGTTTGAGGGGACGAATTCCAGGGAGAAGAAAAACACTCTACAAAAATAGAAATATTCACATCTCAAACAAATTTTTTTTTGTTCTTGCTCTGAGCAGAAGTTCAGTGGGGGAAACTGGGAGATTGAAGGAGCTGATTTGAAGATCGGCGTAGGAAAATGCCCTTCTTTAATTTTTTTATCAAGTCTATATAATCATTATGATGTTATAATCATCCATCTATTTGCGTATTTATATTCAAGCATTTTACTTTAAAAGCTCCTTTATAATCAAGCACTCTATTTACTAAGATCTGCTCATATCAGTTTCATTAAGCTCTCCCATTGAATTTTCTTTTGCTTATTATTAGCTATGCCAATCTATAAACAGATTTAGATAACTATCATTGGAGTTGGATCCTCTTGTTTTAAATTTCTATCATGTTTAGATTTTCTCTATTTGTTGGGATAGATAGCAAATTATAGTACAACTAAATAACCTACTTTTGAAATAAGCAAAAACGACTTTTCAAAAGTCCATTGATCAATTTGGATCCAAATCCAACGTAAATCACCCAAATACAATATATTTCAGATTTCAAAACCAACAGCAAAGTCCATAATCTAGAAAAATCACAAGCAATAGCAGTGATATATAGCCATATTTAGCGAAATCACGGGCAGAGGAAGTTATTTATATTTTATAGTACCTAATCTAGTAAAATCACAGGCAATCGCTAAAACTAACAATTTACAGCATGTCAATTAAATTTCCATCACGGAAAAAATCTTTTTTTAGCAACTTCTAGCATATCTAGAGCTGGATCCGAAACCATAGATAAAATCCACCAAACACAGAAAACTCCAAAACACATACACAACATATTTCCAAAATCACTGATCTGTAAACCGATTCCAATAATCCAATTTTATGCAAATTCCCTTATCACAATGAGCTGAGTTTTAGAGATCCTTACCCAAATCTGTCCATTCACAGATCTTGTCGAAACAAAAATAGAAGGGTCAATGCGGACCCAAATCCAAGTAAATAAAAATTTTAAAAAAATAAAATTCTCACCTGACGTCGTCGGAACTTTGCCGCCGGAGATCTCGACGACTAAAGAATCCCTCCTCCTCCACCACTCGACCGAAACCCAAAAAAAATATATCAGAACCCAGAAACCAGATAAACAACCATGAAAGGAAAAACAAAAATACATATGAGCCTACCGTTGACCGTTCTTCAGCCTCCGTCGCCGGCAGAATCCCATAAAATTCAAAAACAAAATCGAGCAAACCAAACTCACCTTCCTCCTCTCCTGCCATCGACGGATTTCTTCCAGCGACACACTTTTCTCATCCCTAATCCGCCATTAAACCCGAGAATAAGAAGGAAAACTTAAGTCAAATCCTTATTTTCCTAATCAAAACCAATAATCAAAACCAGAAAGCTAACATGCAAACCTCAAATCGTTACTTACCGTCTCAGTGTCCGTCGTCGTCGCTACGACCCTAGGGTTTGATGGAAGGTTAGGAAGAAGTAGATCGAAAATTCGAAATAGAAAAAGGAGGGTGAGAGGTTCATTTTCTTCTTTCTTTCTTTTTTTTTTTGTGGCTTGGTCGTTTTTTGGGAAAAGGGAGAGACGGGAGAGAGAAACGAAGGATCTAGAGAGGCGAGAGAGAGAGGATCAGCTACGGCCGCTTTGGCCTTAGGGTTAGGTTAGATTGGGGTTTCATTTGAGATGATTATATACTCGAATTGATGAAAATGACTAGAATGCCCCTAGGGTTTCCCAACTATTACCATCCCTGCCACTGTGTTTTTTGCCATTTACCAAAATACCTTTGTTTGTCTCATTTTTAAAAACTAAAACCATAAAATTATTTCAGCCGAGTTTCAAACTCTAGTCATCCAAGCATACACACATTATCTTTTCATCAGCAATTTATCCAGTTGAGCTAGGCACCCTCCATTCGTTCAGTAGTTACACCCGTAATTATTTTACTTATTATTCTTTAATGCGAAATTTATCCAGATAAGGTTAATCATGTCTCTTTTCTAATACATCAAATTTCTTCTTAATAACTTAAATCCCTTTGTTCACTTTTCATAACTTCATAATAATCAATTTCAATTTCATTAACAAAAATCTTTAATACGAGAACCACAATCAGTGGAACGTGGTAAAAGTTACATTTAAAATTATCAAAGTTTGAACGAACTACATGGACTTTGATCCCATCTAACGGGTACGTAGGCAACCGATGAAGGTTCGAGTCCAACTAACTAATTAACTTTATCTTTAAATGAACTCCGGTAGGCGTATAATAAAATCATAAATTAATATGATGAAACTCGGTCCAGTGGGATCCTATAATTACCAATAATTATTAAATACACCCAACTCGTATAAACTTATCAACCTAAGTAGTACTGATTTAGGGCGTTGTGGGGGTGCTGCTTAACTTTCTCACATGTAACCGTACTCCCGAACTTAGATTTCTATATAGCAGACCAAACCTCGGTTCTCGCCCTAAGGTTAGAGCCGACCGAAGAGTGTTCGATCCACTCCAAGTAAGATCGATGGTGACTCCAAAAAGTGAACGCGACCCAAACCCGGAGGGACGGTTGCGACAAGTAGGGTCCATAACGTGGTTAGCTTTCGGTTAGTAGTGTTAAGCTGTTACTGGTTTTAAGGGCTGTTGTTGTTAACCGTTCCTGACTTCCTGGTTTCATGTTGGATAGGCCGAGTAATTGTGGTAGCTGTTTTTTAACTTCCATTAGTTATACTTGATGTATTTAACCTCTACGATGATCACTGAATAAGATAATCAATTTTTTCCTTCTATTCTGTTTAACATAGTGGTATCAAAGCCTCATAGGAAAAACTCTAAAGTGATTTCGTGTTTTGGTGGCGGTGGCTACCGCCAGCCTTGTGTTGGAAATGTGTATGAATAGCTTTGAAAGCTATAGAGTCTCAAGTGGAAAAACTACAACATTGGTAGTTTTACTTGGTGAAATGAGTATAAAGATAGGAGCCTCTCTCCTAAGGGCATACCCCTTGGGGTGACCCACTTTTGTGGGAGAGGGAGGACCTAACGGACCACCACACACGACCGGTCGGTCGGTCGGATGGATGGATCACTTGAGACTATATACATATTTTTTGGAGAAATTCCGAACGAAATTAATTATTTAATAATAATTAATTATTAATCGGTTATTCTGAGGAATATTCTAAGGGATAATCGATTGGAAAGGAATATTCGAAGGATAATCCCCGCAGGATTTATCCTAACCGACGGTTTTAATTAAGGAAGTAATTATCTTCATTAATTAATCCGACTTATTCCCCAAGCTAGAGGGTATATTCCTAGGGGTTCGGCTCCTATAAATAGCCGCCTCCCCAGCCCCTCTAAACACACCACAACGAGCATAAACACAATAGAGAGAGTGTTCAGAGAGCTCCGGTTTTCGCACAAAACCGCGAGTACACAGAGGAGCTGTTTTATCCTGGAGACGACCGGTTGATAGTCTGTCGTGCGCATCAAGGGCAGTGCCGCGAACGTCTTAAAGAGAGCGACCTGGTCCGCGACTCAGCTCCAGATTCGGTAACCTCGGTCTTGTTGTTGTTCCGTTTCTAACAATTTTAAGACGTTCGGCTGCTGCTATGTCGACTGAACAGAACAACATGGCCGGATCTGGTGCTGTCGATATCAATCGACCGTTTCGCTTCGTTGGAGTCAACTTCCGTCGCTGGAGACAAAAGATGGAGTTCTACCTGACGACCAAGAAGTTGGCACACTGCCTCACCAGCATGCCCGTCGAGCTGCCGGAAGAAGCGACCGATGAGGAGAGGGCTGCTTCTGCTAAGGAAAGGGAGCATGACTTCCTATGCAAGAATTACATCCTCAACGGCCTGGCAGACGACCTCTACGACTACTATGCGGACAGCAAGAACACCGCCATGATGGTCTGGGATGCGCTCCAAAAGAAGTACGACACGGAGGAGGCTGGAGCTAAGAAGTATGCTGTCAGCCGCTACCTGCGCTACCAGATGGTGGATGACAAGTCTGTCGAAGTTCAGTCCCACGAACTTCAGAAAATAGCTCACGAGATCGTCTCTGAAGGTATGCCTCTGGACGATCAATTTCAAGTTGCTTGCATTATTGATAAGCTGCCCCCTTCGTGGAAAGATTTTAAGAATATGCTTAGACATAAAACCAAAGAATTTTCACTGGAAAGTTTGATTACTCGCCTAAGGATTGAGGAAGAGTCCCGCAAGCAGGATATGAAAGAAGAGGTGATGGTCGTCACTGCTAAACGACCCACCCCTAGAGCTCTTAAACCTAACCAGAAAGGGTTTAAGGGTAAGAACCAGCAGGTCCGCCCCCACCAGAATGGTGACTCTCGAGGTAACCAAAGGGTCATGGCCCAAACCTCTAAGAATGACCCACCGTTTATCTGCTTTAACTGCGGAAAACCGGGTCATATGGCAAAAAAGTGCAGGAACAAGCATAACCCCGCCGCTGCGGCCAGGGTTAACTTGACAGAAGAGGATTTGGTAGCCATGATCACAGAGATGATCGCTGAAGTTAACCTCACCGGTGACTCAGAAGGATGGTGGCTGGATACAGGTGCATCGAAGCATGTATGCAACAATCGTGCTATGTTTAAAACATACGAAGAAGCACCTGCTGACAAGAAAGTGTTGTTGGGGACTACTCACACCACGATGGTTGCTGGTTCTGGTGAAGTGGAGCTGAACTTCACCTCTGGGAAGAAGATGGTGCTCAAGGATGTGTTGCACACTCCAGAGATAAGGAAGAATCTTGTTTCGGGATATCTTCTTAATAAGGCTGGGTTTAATCAATCTATTGGGGCAGACTTGTATACCCTTACTAAGAATGGGAGTTTTGTGGGAAAGGGATATGCATGTAATGGGATGTTCAAGTTGAATGTCGAAATTAATAAGATGAATTCTTCAGTTTACATGGTGTGTGATTTGAATGTTTGGCATGCTCGTCTTTGTCATGTGAACACACGAATTGTGAAGAATTTAAGCAAGCTAGGACATATCCCTAAACTCTCAATGAATGAATTTGATAAATGTGATTTCTGTAGCCAAGCTAAAATAACGAAAACGCCCCATAAGTCTGTGAGTAGAGAATCAGAACCCTTAGATCTGATTCATTCTGATATTTGTGAACTAGATGGGACGTTAACTAGGTCTGGCAAGAGATACTCTATCACTTTCATAGATGATTGCTCTGATTATTGCTTTGTTTATTTGATGAAAAACAAAAGTGAAGCCCTTGACATGTTCAAGGTATTTGTGGTTGAATTCGAAAATCAGTGCAATCGAAAGATAAAAAGACTTAGGAGCGATAGAGGATCAGAGTATGACTCTAATTCCTTCAAGGAATTCTATAGCTCACATGGTATCATTCATGAAACCACGGCACCATATTCACCAGAAATGAATGGTAAAGCTGAGCGGAAAAATAGGACATTTACAGAATTAGTTGTGGCTATTATGCTCAATTCTGGAGCTGCTTCTCCTTGGTGGGGTGATATTTTGTTGACGGTTTGCTATGTGCTAAATCGTCTTTCAAAAACAAATAGAAAAGAATCACCCTATGAGATCTTGAAGAATAAGCCACCTAATCTGTCCTATTTAAGAACGTGGGGCTGTTTGGCCTACGTAAGAATTCCTGATCCTAAGAGGGTTAAGTTGGCTAGTCGAGCATATGAATGTGTCTTCGTTGGCTATGCGGCCAATAGTAAGGCATATAGATTCTATGATTTGAATGCTCGTACTGTAATAGAATCCATTGATGCTGATTTCTTTGAGACACGATTTCCATTTAAAACGAGAAATAGTGGGGGTAATGTATTACCCGCTATTAGAGATAACGGAACTAGTGGGGGTGTTGGATCTGAGGATGAACTCAGAAGAAGTAAAAGAGCTAGAATCTCTAAAGATTTTGGTGATGACTTTACTACAGTATACACCCTAGAGGATCCAAAAAGTTTGCAGGAAGCATTAACTTCCATAGATGCGGACTTTTGGAATGAGGCCGTTATAGATGAAATGGAATCGTAAGAGGCTAATAAGACTTGGCATCTAACAGACTTACCTCCTGGCTGCAAAGTCTTAGGTAATAAATGGGTTCTAAAAACGAAACGGAAACCTGATGGTGCAATCGAAAGGTTCCGAGCTCGCCTAGTAGTCAAGGGCTACAGGCAGAGAGAGAATATAGATTTCTTCTACACCTATTCACCAGTATCTAGAATAACATCCATTCGTGTCATGATTGCTCTTGCTGCCTTGAACAATCTCGTGGTACACCAAATGGATGTTAAGACTGCCTTTTTGAACGGTGATCTAGATGAAGAAATCTATATGGAACAACCAGAAGGGTTTGTTATCCCTGAACATGCCTCGAAAGTCTGTAAGTTGGACAAATCATTATATGGTTTGAAACAGGCTCCAAAACAGTGGCATGAGAAGTTTGACACTCTCGTTCTCTCACATGGCTTTAAGGTGAATGAAAGTGACAAGTGTATTTACTGCAAGTCAGAGAATAACACTTGCACTATCATATGTTTGTATGTAGATGACATGTTGATATTTGGTACAAATATTCACGTGGTCAATGAAGCGAAAGCCATGTTAAAAGAGAGCTTTGAGGTGAAAGATCTGGGAGAAGCAAAGTTTATGCTTGGAATCCAGATAACTAGAACAGCAAATGGTTATTCTCTAGATCAATCTAGCTACATAGAGAAGATCTTGAAGAAGTATAACTATTTCGACTGTAAACCTGCGTGTACTCCGTATGATGCTAGTGTAAAGCTATTTAAGAACACTGGAGACCGTGTAAGACAAACAGAATATGCTAGCATCATTGGCAGTCTCCGTTATGCTGCGGATTACACTCGACCAGACATTGCATATGTCGTGGGATTGCTTGGCAGGTTTAACAGCTGTCCTAGTAGAGAGCATTGGAATGCTATAGAGAGGGTCATGAGATACCTCAAGAGAACAGCAAACCTTGGTATACACTATCAAAGGTTTCCCGCTGTACTAGAAGGGTATAGTGATGCGGATTGGAATACCCTATCAGATGACTCCAAGGCAACCAGCGGATATGTTTTTAACATCGCTGGTGGAGCTGTGTCTTGGAAGTCAAAGAAACAAACAATCCTAGCTCAATCAACTATGGAATCAGAGATGATAGCACTAGCAACGGCTAGTGAAGAAGCAAGTTGGTTGAGAGGATTGTTGTCAGAGATTCCCCTATGGGAAAGCCCGGTCCCTCCGGTATTGATACATTGTGATAGTACCGCAGCTATCGCTAAAGTTGAGAACCGGTTCTATAACGGAAAGAAACGACAGATTCGTCGTAAGCACAGTACTGTTAGAGAACTCCTAACGATAGGAGCAGTGAGGGTGGATCATATAAGATCCAAACAGAATCTAGCTGATCCTTTGACAAAAGGATTACCTAGAGAGAAAGTCCAGAATACCGCCAAGGGTATGGGACTTATGCCTACCGAACCACGGACTACAAGTGATGGTAACCCGACCCAATAGACTGGAGATCCCAAGAAATGGGTTCAATGGGTAATAACAAGTCATGAGTAGTATGCGAAAAGTTCATGCATAATGAAGTATGAATCCCAAAGCAATGGAGGTTGAGTTAATAACTCTTAATGAGATCTATACCCTATGTGGGGTGGAGTACTTTACTTTGGGGGTACTCCTGATAGACTCACCTATGTGAATGTGGGAGTGGGGCCGCTCCCTATGGAACTTTGAGAGGCACAAAGTTGCTAGAGCGTTCACTAAACCAGGATAACGTGCATGGCCATAAACGCACGGGCTAAGAAGAGAACACAACTCAATGAAAAGATCCGGTGTGCTACACTGTCTGAGATAGGGTTCAAGACTACGAGTCACCCTTATGAAATCGGAAGTGTAACCACTACGCTAAGGTTCAAATCTTCGCGATACCTTAGCTTATGCCCGATCTTATGGAACTGTTGATGCTCAGAGATAGTTTCAAAACTATTCAAGTGGGGGATTGTTGGAAATGTGTATGAATAGCTTTGAAAGCTATAGAGTCTCAAGTGGAAAAACTACCACATTGGTAGTTTTACTTGGTGAAATGAGTATAAAGATAGGAACCTCTCTCCTAAGGGCATGCCCCTTGGGGTGACCCACTTTTGTGGGAGAGGGAGGACCTAACGGACCACCACACACATGCGCGCGCGCGCCGTCCATCCGACCGACCGGGCGGTCGGTCGGTTGGTTGGATGGATGGATCACTTGAGACTATATACATATTTTTTGGAGAAATTCCGAACGAAATTAATTATTTAATAATAATTAATTATTAATCGGTTATTCTGAGGAATATTCTAAGGGATAATCGATTGGAAAGGAATATTCGAAGGATAATCCACGCAGGATTTATCCTAACCGACGGTTTTAATTAAGGAAGTAATTATCTTCCTTAATTAATCCGACTTATTCCCCAAGCTAGAGGGTATATTCCTAGGGGTTCGGCTCCTATAAATAGCCGCCTTCCCAGCCCCTCTAAACACACCACAACGAGCATAAACACAATAGAGAGAGTGTTCAGAGAGCTCCGGTTTTCGCACAAAACCGCGAGTACACAGAGGAGCTGTTTTATCCTGGAGACGACCGGTTGATAGTCTGTCGTGCGCATCGAGGGCAGTGCCGCGAACGTCTTAAAGAAAGCGACCTAGTCTGCGACTCAGCTCCAGATTCGGTAACCTCGGTCTTGTTGTTGTTCCGTTTCTAACACCTTGTGTGTGAGGACCGGAGAGAGTAGGAGCAGGAAGATTAGATGTTGAGAAGGAAGTTTATTGATATTAGGGTCTTGGCGAGGGAGGCGGTGATAAGTGAACAAGAAATTGGGATTGAGAAGTGAGCAAACGATTAGTCAAACAGAGGTAGAGAGTGTGAATAACAAAGAGAGTCAAACCTTGGCTGACAGAGCTGGTGGCGAGAGATGTTGTCGTTGATTCAGGAGACGAGGAGGCAACCAAGAAAGGGGTCGTCGTCGCAAGGAGGAGGAGAAGTGGATTCCTGTGACCAAGCTCGTCCGTCTGGTGAAAGAAGGAAAGATTCGCAGTTTGAAGCAAATCTACCTCCACTCGAGACCCAACAAGGAGTACCAGAACATTGACGCCTCACCGGCCCCGGTTTCCTGAAGGACCTGGTCATGACGATTATCCCCATTCAGATTAAGACCCGCCGTGGACAACAAACCCGATTCAAGGCCTTCCTTGTCATTAGCAACAGAAACAACTACGTTGGATTGAGTATCAAGTGTAGCAAAGAAGTCCCAATCGAGGCCATTCTATGTTTGAGGACGATTGCTTTGGGGAGCTAGAGGAGCCTGTTCCTTTTAAAGTTTTTTTCATACAGGGTTCGTGAAGATGATTCGGTTGTGGAGACATTCTGAGTATCCGCTTCTTGAAAAGTTTGTTGTCAAGGGACATGAGGCAGACTGTTGTCGTTGGTGTGATCAAGGTTGTAGAGAAGAAGGACTCAGCTGGCACCAAGGTCACCAAGGCTACTGCAAAGAAGAACGTTCATCTGTGAATAGAGGATTGAAGCCTGATTTGCATGGAGAGAGAGTTGGGACAAGGTGAGTTCAACCATCACAGAAGCTTTGGTCCAACAAGGTAAGCTGTTGGTCATTCATTGTTTGGGATCAATTTATTCCATGATCAATTTATTATGTGTTTGCATATGAAATTAGAACCCCAACTGCCACCCTCTAGTTACAAGCTTCCAACCTATAGATCAAGAAGTGTTTATATTTAACAAACCTAGGCTTCAGAACAATTCAGAATAGTTCCACATCACCATCTCAAGAGGAAGTGAATGTAGTCCAAGTAGCTCCAATACTATAAGCTTTGCAAGGACTGTTGGGAAATGCTTGTTGGATTTGGTTGTGGTGAATTGCAGCAACTCTCATTAACAGTTTGAGAAGAAGGGTTATGGAATTTTTGCTCCTGCGGGAACTGAAACTTGTTTCAATGGGCTTCAGTTGATCAGGGGAGGAAATACATATTTTGGTCTTACTTGTTGTTGCAGCACTTGCTAATGCTACTCCAGATTAGCAGCGGACAATGCTGGTTGAGAGTCTGTACCCCCTGGTGGAACAATTGGAGCAAGAAGTTGCTTCTAAGGTGAAAGGGATGCTTTTGGAGAAGGACCAGGCCGAGGTTCTACACTTGCTGGAGTCACCAAAGGAACTGCAGGCAAAAGTTGATGAGGCTGTGGCTATGTCGGGGAGCGCTCAGCAAGGCAGTACAGCTAATCAACTGTTCTTGCTGTCTTTAAATGATTAGTTGTGCTTGTTGTCTTTGACACAAAGAGAATTGAGTTCATTGCAGAAGGTGAAATGGAACAGTTAAAGGAGGCTAAAATCAATATGGACATGGCGTTTGAGGTGGAAGAATGTGAAGAGAAGATTCGGGAGAAGTGGAAGCTATTGGGTTCATGGAGTCATCCCTGGCCGAGTATAGTAAGCATATTTCTTTTAAAGAGAAGGATTTGAGTTCTCTTCTTAATTCTATCGGAGAAAGCCCCAAGCAGCTTGAGTTCAAACATCAGGAAATGAATGGAGTTTCGACTTTTTGTTCTTAGCTTCAAGTAAAAGAGAACAAGTTGGATAAGGTGAAGGATATGATTAGAGTATGCAATGTTGAACAAGTGTCCAAAGAGAAGCAGTTGACTTTGGTGGTAGGGGTTTTGATGTCAACAGTTGCTAAACCATGATGAAACAAGATCTTATCAAAGATCCGTGTTTTTGTTCTGGTCAAACAACAATGTGGATGAAGAGGATGGTTGTGTCATTTGAGAGAAAAGCAAACATGTGTTCCGGTGACCAAGGGGTATTAGCAATTTAATATGGGTGTGTTATCATTGGTGGCAAACCAATTGGTTATTATATACGTGGTTGTTTAGCATAGAAAATTCAGGAATGATTCGAGTCCAATGATACACATTTTGCCTCTCATTTCTTGATAGTTTGACTTTGCATTTAATCATCGCTCGACATATTTCACGCTAGTTTGTGTTTGTTTTGATACATTTCAAGTCCTAGCACGTGTGGAAGGGTCAATGACGAGTTTCGGGACGATTGGAGCTCAAAAAGCGCAAAAACCGTAGTTCACGGTCAGAGCTGCGAGTTCACGGTTAGAGCTGCGAGTTCACGGTCGCCAGGGCCGTGAACCGCGAAGCGTTCAGAAGGGTTTCAGATGTTAGTGACACCAAGGCAGTTCACGGCCGTGAACCCCAGAAGTGAAGCGGTGCATTTTGATTTAAGCATTGGAGTTCATAGACACGTTCTGATGTTCACAGCCGTGAACTGGGCGCGCGGCTGGGTATAAATAGAGAGTTGGAAGGAGGAAGAAGAGAGCTTTTAGTAGGTTTTATATGTAGAATATAGGAGGGTTTCTAGTGAGAGATTAGGGTTTCCTATTCATTATCTAGAGAGAGTGCAATTCAAAGGACGAAGAAGGAGATTTGGGCTCATTTCAAGCTAGAGGAGTGAAGGTTTCTTCTTGTCAAGGGAGATTCAAGCAACAAGGAGGAAATATTTTCATCTCTTCATGGTTCTTTCTCTCCCTTTCCTTATTTTTCTTTGCCTAGCTATGGAATAGCCTACCTATTCACTTGGGTGTTTGTAAACCCTAGCTACAATTATGTGAATGCTCGTATGAATTGAATGATTTGTGTGTGGTTGTGTTTTAATGTGAATGTGGAAGTATTATTTAGAAATGATTGTGTTGTGTGAAAGTCTATCAATCTTATTTCCCATTCTAACCTAGTTTAGAGAGGAGAGCTCCTTAGGTTAAGAGGCTCAATATTGAGATGAGTGTTCTTGGGCATGTCATGCCTCCTAGGCTAGTTTAGAGAGGAAACCTCCTTAGGTTAAGAGGCTCAATTTGAGATGGGTGTTCTTGGGCATTTCATTCATCCGAGGCTAGTTTAGAGAGAACCCTCTTTAACTTAAGAGGCTCTATTAAAGATGGGTTTCTTTGGGCATTTTATGCCTCCTATTCTAGGTTAGTTAAAGGGCGAACCTCCTATTTCGCATTAGCACTTAGGGTTTGATTGTGGGTGGCCGTCCGAACTCAAATTCGAGGGTGAAGTCTAACCATTACTTAGTCGATAGGTTGAGAGGTTCACATTAGTGACTTGGATCGTATCTCATTCCTCAACCTAGAGGCTGAGAGGGTAGCTTTGGCTGCGTGTTAGACTTCCCTGCAGTTTATGACCCCCTAAGACTAACTCCAACCCACAAAGTGAAATTTGGCTCCCCAAATAGTCAAATATGGCTCTTTAGCTCTCCAAACCCCATTTTCACTCCAACCCTACAAAAAGCTAAATTTAGCTTCTCACCTTCCTTTTTCAGTTTATTTCAATTAATCATACTTATTTGATCTCTAATTTTTAGATTTCACTTTAATTATTTTATAGTTTGTTATTAATTTTGAAAAAAACTTTCGATGTAATTTTTTTTAAATTCCGAGATAAAAAAAATTTAGAAATTAATCATTAATTTGTTACCGTTTACGACCGTTGTTTCGTCACTATATCAATGATATATCATTTAACTTTATAATAAATTCTAACAAAAAAATAACCAATCACAAAGGGAAAGAGAGAGAAACAAAACAAAAAAAAGGGGCTGCCCCACCTCAATCCCCCAACCATATTTGGCTTTTTACCCAAAACAAGAGCTAAATTTAGCTCCCAAAATCAAGATACCCAAATTTGACAGCCAAATTTTTTTGTGGGTTGGAGCTTGAAAAAGAGCCAAATTTGGCTTTATGGCTTTTTAGCTCCCTGGGTTGGAGACAACCTAACCACACACGGTCGTTCGATCCAACAAGTTGTAATTGTTAGCTAGGGGGAGCAACACCCGAGTGGACTCTTCTCTCATTGGGAAAACCTCGATTTACTTTACTTGTTTGTTTTCATTTGTAGTTTTCTTAGTTTTAAACCCAAAACCGTTTTGCTAGATAACAACCTATAAGCGATTGAAGTAGGGGTACATGGACCGGCCCGGGTTTGACGATTAAATACTTGCCCTATACTGCACCCGGATAGAATTTAAAAACTTAGGCTCTAGTCGGGATTGATTCGCGGTGTAGTTTCGTGCGAGTCAAGGAACTTCCTTGCTGACAGGTTTTAAGACTGTGGTTTCCTCTTGAGAGCTGTAACTCTAAGAAGAAATAAGATGGGAGTGCATAAATTTTGATCTTGTCAAGGAATACTAGGAAGGTTGTGGGTGGGATTGTAGCATTAGTTCAATTAGAGAATTTTAGAGAAGTAGGTGATGAGGAATGATGATTGGATTAAGTGAATCCATGGTTGTGCAAGGATGCTTGAGGAACTGTTTAAGAAAATGTCAGCTGGACATACCTATGAGTGAAGTAGGCGGAATTTTAATGTTAACTAGACATACCTATGAGTGAAGTAGGTGGTGTGACCTGTGAGAAGAAGGTTTGGTTTCAATGTCATTCGACGAGTAGGCAACAAAGTTGCTGGTCCTTATTCGGTGGTGAATGGCTGGTTTACAAGTAACAATTTGAGAGCTTGCAATAACACTTTCAGTTGCACTTGTCGCTTGTTGGCAGATGACATAGAAGGAAAGACTTGAGAGGACAGGTCTAGAGAGTACAATTAATAACCAGAATGAAAACAGTTGAGCATTCCTTGCCATGAAGAAGAGAAAAGAAAGTGAAGTTGAACTAAAAGCCAATCTTATTGGAGGTTTGCATCAAATGTGATTAAAGCTTCTGACATACATGAACTAGTTGTTGTTGCAGAATGATCATGTACTAGTTTAAACTCAAACTTACTGATAGACCGATAATTATACATGTTTCCACCCCTATTCTGAAGCTGTTTGTGATGAGGAATCTCGTGTTTTAAGCCGATTTCACGTTAGGTTGTGTGTTTATGTCATATTTCAGGTCCCGGCGTTGGAATCGAGGCGGAGAAACGAGTTCTGGGTCGAAAGGAGCAAAGTTGGGACGAATAGGCTGAAGGAGGAAAATACCCGGTCAGGTGGCCAAATACCCGACCGGGTATTCACCACTTTTGGGCGCCCGAGAAGCAGAGAGGGGCCCGGCACAGCAGCAAAATCCCCGGTCGGGGATAATGGCGATTGACCGGGGATTCTTCCCTTAAGCGAAACGGTGCGCTGCAGAGATACCCGGTCGAAACCCAAAATACCCGACCGGGTATCGCGACCAGGCAGCTGATTTAAGGAAGAAGAAGGCCAACATTGAAGGGTTCCGAGTTTTTGAGAGAGAAAGCGACGAACCAGAGTTCCCAAGCGCCATAGATCGATCTTCAACACCATTGGAGCCCGGTTTGAGCTTGGAGAAGTGCGATTAAACGTCCAGGAGCAGGAATCCAACTTCACAGTATGATTTCCGCGTCTGAATCTGCTTTTGCTTCTTTCTCTATGGAGTAGTTTCCCCATTCATCTGGGTATGGAGAACCCTAGATTTGTATGCTAGGTCTGATTGTATGAACCCAATTACAGAGTTTGTGAATTGATTATATTCGATTGAGGTTTGAATGATTGAATGACTTGAATCCTGATCAAATTCCTGTTGTTTCTGCTTTAACCTAGAATGAGAATATCTGCCTAGGTTGATAGAGTACCCTTAATCGAAGGTGGCGAATTGGTGACTTTAGTCGAGGAGCCAATTCGCTATTCTGTACCGAAGTCAATTCGGTAGTGGAGGTTTGGTTCATTAGGGCCTCAATCTGTTTACTCCGGTGGAGGTTAGTCGCCCGCTAGAGACTCAGATTGGGAGGGTCTGGAGACCTTTAGTCGAGACTTCAGGCTAATTGAGAACCTTCCGCAGTATAACTTTCATGAAAACTGAACTTGGTAAATTGCAATCTGACTTAACTGCAGTCTAGGGGGAACCATATCCGGGTGACCTCTCTTGACTTGACAACAAACCGTTTACTTGCTTGTGTGTTCTGTTTGCTTGAGTTGCACTAAAAGTTCACCGCTAAATAACAAGAATTCACCGAGTAGTCATCACATCTAGGACCCGGGTTGACATTAAAACCCGACCCGCTATACTACGCTTTAGGACGTGGTTATACTTGGCCATTTTCTAGGGTGACAGTAGGAGTGAGTCAAGTTTTTGGCGCCGTTGCCGGGGACGGCTAGGTTGTTGAAGAAAAGTGATTTCTGTTACTTTAGCATTTTCATTTTTGCATTGAGTTTTTGTTTTTCCCACTTGTGCCTTCACGGGTTTGCATTGCTTGATTGGGTGCAGATAGTGCATGACCCGTAGCCAGTCGGGAG